AGGTAAATTAAGATACTGGGGAAGTATCTTAGAGGTTCTGAGACATGGGTGAATTTCAGTTAACCCCTAAACTGGTTGCAGAGCAAACACTTTCCTGTAAAAAACAATACATCAGGGTCTAGCTTCCACCCTTTGCAAGACCACCTATGATTTCAAGTCCCACGTGGAGAGGCATCACTCTTTCCATACATTCTTTACACAATTAGGCTAAGCTAGCCATTATTTCTTCACACCAATTTAAGAATTACAACTGCTGGTACATTTTGTTTTGTCTTCAGTTTCTACTGACAGACGCAGATAGCCAGAGGAGGGTCCTTTCTAGTTTTCTCAGGAGAGCAGCTCTACTAAAGAGGTTATTGAGAAATGTTCGCACTTGAGCTTTGCCCGTAAAAATGTGGTTTTTTCAGGGGCTCTCTCTCACCCCCAGAGCCAGCCACACGCATTCACACAAAGCAGCTGAACACTGCGGTTTAGGATAATGCTCCTTCACCCTCGCATGTCTCACCCCACCCTAGGTAAAGCAAAATGTTTCTTGTGCCTTAATCTGTATGACTGGTGCAAAATGACATGTCACACACTATGAAGGCACAGTTGCTTTTCCTGTATTTTCCTTCAGGTAATCAAACAGTTTGCTTTCTCCAAGCCTTTGGCTTCTCTACAGGTGCATGCACGCACCAATTTACCTTCCATAAATACAAAGACACATTCCAGTTGCTTTCTGACAGACAATCCCATTCCAACACCAACCTATTGCTCCACTAACAACACGTTAGATTGAATTACATGAATGTGTTTGGAGATGATCCCTAAATGGATGGGATTTGTGTGAAGGGTCTGGGAAGCCTTACACTTTGGCTGCATTTTCAGCACAGATTTTTCTCCTCCTCACTCTGGTATTTTCCTTAAGTACTGTCACCACTGGGAAAATCTCCTTTTGCTGTTTATAAGCTCTGGAGGACCTATCCAACATGTAGGATCTATACGCTTCTTTTAAAAAACAAGAGCAAGATTTTCATTAGCTTTCAGGCATTTAAAGGTGCTTGTGGTTTCCTGGTGAGGTCTTTAAACAATGAGAGCTGTGCACCCAGGCATTCAGAAACAAACTGCAGGGCAGAAAAAAAAGACCTTCAACTTCTCTCTCTCAGTACATAAATAACTTTCTCGAGAAGCTGAGTAGGATGAGACAGGCAATGAGCTGAAACACAGAAGGTATGCCTCATGCTTCAGGGCAGGATTGCCTTATAGTGCCAGTGTCTGATAGTGATAATCCAGCTGAACCCACTGCTGGGAGGCAGCAAGCAGTAGCAGTCGCACCCATGACTACTACACTTCTCATCAAGACTAATTTGTCTGATCCCTCCTTCCTTTGGGACCAGGGGAAAGACGAGCCGTACAGCCAGCACTGAACACAGGCTGCTTCCCACGTACCTGCGGCAGAGCCTAAGACTTATACAGCTCACATGAGGGCACCAGGGAGCCTCTGACCCCTTCCCACACAGGAAACGCCCAAGTCCTATGTAGCCTGAGGTTGTTCTGAAAACAAACCCCCGCCTCCCACCTCAGCTAGTCGGAGGCACTGGCCCCAGCCAAAACCAATAGATCAGAAGCAGTATGTCATTTCCAGGCCACACTGTTTTGGTTATGATGAGTCAAAAAACATTAAAGGGAACACAGATGTAGTGAGATCACCTCATTTTCTGGATTCTTCCTATCTCTAGAAGTCTGGCCTGATTTCCCCTAACATTTCCATGTGCACACACAAAAACAACCCTTGTGCTGCTGGTCGTGCCTCTTGGACCGCAGGTGTGTTGCGTGACACTTGGCATGGCTGAGTGAGCTTGAGCTCACCCTGAGCTGCAGGCAGGATGGTGTCTCCCTGTAAGAAACTTTATTCAGTTATTTCAAATAGCTCCCACTTGCACACAAAGCCATGTTTTGTAATAAAAACAAGCAGGAAAGTCACATCCAAAGGAATTTCACCTATTTCCTCCTCCACTTATTCCACTCTAGTTATCTTTTTTAAAAAAAAAACAAACTCCAAGAAACTGGCCACCAGAACAACAAAGTAGCCAAGAAGCTAATGTAATAACCTCATCCTTCAAAAGCCACCCTGCCTTTCATACTTGTAGGTTTCTGCAACAGTCCTAAATCATACAGTATCCTTTAGTTTTTTTATTTTTTTTAAGGTTTCACTGCATTCTTCATACAAGCAATGTTTTAATTTAGGAGAGATGCACAGAATGCTGCAATTGTTCCAGTAGCCTGGACTTTCCCAGCAAACTGAGGCAGGCGTTACTCTGCTCAGCTACAGAGGCAAAGCTGCAGCCAGTTACTCCTTACAGTGCAGAAGGGAGCAGAAACGGCATCAGAGACAAGAGTGGGGGTCCCCATCCCCCTGCCACCCCCCTCAAAAAAAGGTTGCTTGTGGTCCAGATGAAGCTGCAGCAGGATCAGGTTAGTGAGTTCCCACGTCCCTGCCGAGCTGTGGTAGCTGACCATGCACAGGCTGTCCTTGCAGTCCAGTGTCATCGAGCTTTAAGCAGAAATACCATGTCCTAAGGCCCTGGTCCTTCAGATGACAGCAAAGCAGGCAGCTGTGGGCTAAATGCCACATTGAACTCCCTGGAGATGGAGCTGAAATGCTTTGCAGAACAAGGATGAGTGACTGTGCTTGGGCTTTAGCTACGCTTACAAACTCCTCTACATCTTGGCTCTTGTTTTCTTTGCCACATGGCAGCTGGCTACATCCAAGACCTTAAAATTCCTGGAAAAGAAAGTGACTCCGGAAACTCAGCTGTGCAACAGATGCTCCATCTAGTGTTTATTAACCAGTATTTCATTTTCTTCAAGGATTTGTTTTGCTGTTAACACTTAGCTTCATCTTTTATGTAGTCCATTTGTCTATTTACAATCATTACTGAAAATACTAACTTTCTGCTGGTTATTTTAAATACACAGTTTTGATTTAGCCACCATACCCTAAGTAACGATACACTAATTTCCATTGAGAGATTAGAGCTCACAGAGCAAAATGAAGGAGAAATGTTTTAGAAGAGCAGCGAGCATTTCTCCAGGTGCTTCGCTAACACAAAGCAAACGGAGAACTTGGAGCAGGAGTAAAACAAAAACTAAATGACACCCAGGGTTACCACCTGGTCTCCACAGCACGGAGGTTTCTCAGGACAGTCCGTGCCACCCTGCCTGGTGCTCAGGCTGAGCCGTACAGCAGTGAGTGAGGAAAACGTGAGTCGTGACTCCAGGGCTCAACTCCCGTGGTGCCACTGACCTGGTCCCTGAGCTCAGTGAGTTTTACTCACACCTTCTGCCCACCAGGGACATGTCCCACCCTCCCAAACTATTTTGAGGCCCGTTTTGAAAGCCTACGGAACACTATGCAGCATGAGACAAAGCAAGCAGAGCCGGTGGCTCCTCCCACCTCCATAAACACATTTCCTCCCTCCAAACGCACCCACTTCTCACACTTCCCCTGTCTCTTGGTGGTGGTTTTACCTGCCTGAAGCCTGGTCTCTGCAGGGTCCCTGTGAGGACACATCCCAGCCCACCACGCCGTCCCCCAAGCGGCGGGGGTGGGGGGATGTTTCTTCTGCATGCTGCACATTCACCCTGTGCAGCGGAGCCAGGGGTGTACCCCCTCAAGCAGCTGGCCTGAGGCGAGGGACTGCCACAGCAGGGAAAGGGGAAAACTTCTCCCCAGGCACAGGGTCGTGGTGCTGAGCCCCTCTGCCACAGACCCAGCTGCTTTGTTGTCCTCTGTGTCCAGCCTGACTGTTGGGGAAGGACAGGAAAATAACCAGGTGGCACAAAGCCCTCGGGGCACCTCAGCACACCTGGGCTCAGCAGGGCACAGCAGCTGCTGGAAATGAGTCCCAGGGAGCTGTTTGGCAGAGCCCTGCCGGTGTACATGTGTGGTGCTGGCTTTTCCGGGTGCCCAGGTGGACTGCAAAGCATCTTTGGATGATGGAAAAGCAGGGACAAGCAGGACAGCCTCAGACCTGGCAATTGCCATGTGTGTTTGAGAAGTGCAGGACTTGCCTGCAGGGCTTGGTTGTGGGACAAACAGCAAAATACCCAAACACATGGAGAGGCTCCTTGTTATCTCAGGCTGCACCAAATTTGCAATATTTTAGGAGTTCCTGGTTCTTGATTTGCTGCTCACACAAAATGAGCAGTGCTTGTAATGTTCTTACTGTAGAAAGGAAAGACAACAGCTGATGGGACAAGAAGTCCCAAGCTTATAGTTTGATAAAGAAGAAAAAGAAAGAAAACCACCATTGTTCTGTTGGAGAGGCACTAGGATGAGCTGCCTTTAGAAAACAGTTGGCTTGCAGATCCTTACCGGAGGCAGTGATGGCCCTAACAGCCCCTACATGGCCCTTGTCTTCCAGGTGAGATCTGAGAGACACTTCAGAGGAAAGCTGGCAAGGAGCTGCAGTAGAAATGGAGACCCCCTGGACCCCACAGCCATGAGGCACAATCCGAGGCACAGATCTAAGCTGCAGAAACTGTGCTTTCATTGCTATGGAAAATATAGCAGAAGGGGTGCTTTCACGGGCAGAAAACATTTAAGAGGCACCACATGTCCCCCCTGTCAGCTCTCCGCCTGTGCCACAGCTTGCAGCAGAGCTCCACAAACCTTGTGCCATAGTAGTGACAAGAGTGGGAAAGTAGCACACTGCAGCTTGGGGATGGGAAGGAGAGGTCCCCCTATGGAGAAATGGCAGATGGCACTGCCCGGTTTGGGCAAGGTAAAACTACATGCATATGAGCAGTATAATAGTACTATTTGAGTAAGACCTTCCAATAAACTAGATACAGGCCTGCTGCAGGATGTCCTCCAGGGCAACACAGGAACCAGAGCCAGTCTGCAGAACTTCAGGTCTGGTTTGTTGCAAAAATGAGAGCAGGTCGACACCAAGGGAAGACACACAACACTAAAACACATTTTCTGCTAACCGTGGTTTTGTTGTGTTTTTTTGCAGGTGATGGCTGTGCTGCTCTTCCCTGTACAGCTGCTGGCAGTGGCTGTCACCATTTACTTAGAGCTGGTGAGGTCTGTTCAAGGCGGCGCCTACTATGGCATCAAGCAGCTGCCACCCCAGGTGCCCCAGTACCAACCCCTTGGACAACAAGTACCCCACATACCACTGGGCAAAGAAGGCATCCCAATGCAGCACATGGGCAAGGAGATGCCCCACATGCAGTATGGGAAAGAGTACCCCCACCTGCCACAGTACATGAAGGAGGTCCCACAGATGCCTCTGCTTGGCAAGGACATGGCTCCCAAGAAGGAGAAAGGTAGGCTTAGCATGCCCCTCACCACTCCTGCACGGCCCTGCCTGGTGCCCCACAGCACCATTTGCCCGAGGTGTGTGTGGAGGAATTGAAGATGGGGGGATTTAAAGGTTTGCATATGAAAACAAGCAATTCCTCTTCTGACTCTGCAGTCCTCTTTCTGTAGGTTATTTATGGGCGTAACAAAGGCATTGAAGATACAAGCATTACTGTGCAAGTCTGCACGTACAAGCACTTTCAGTATCCAGTAAAGGAAGTTCTGACAATATTCAGATATCTAAGAAAACTACATAAAGCGTCCAAAATACAAAAGGCAACAAGGAACACCCAGTATTATCCCATGCCATAAAATTTTTGTGGGAGCAGTGAGACTTCAGACAAGCTGGTTAACTCTCTGTCTTATTGAGGGTTCAGCTTAACCACAGCCTCTGCTGGCTTCAGGGAAATGGGAGTTTTCAGGGCCTATTTTTGGAGTGTCTGAACAAGCACAACCAGCTGTAGTAAAATTAACCCATCTTGTGAGCAAGGGAGGTTTTGTACGTGCAAAAAACACAACGTGCAGAGAGAGAGGAGTTCTGCCTCTCAAAGAACAGTTAATTCTCCTGCCCCTAAACCTCATTGCTGTCCTTCCCCCAAACACCTCACTTCTTTATCCATTTTAGAGTGAGAGAGAAGCAGACTTTCCACTTAACACAAAAAGCCTGCAGTTTGAAAAGCAACCAACCACAGCACAACCACTCTCATTCAGCAATGCCCTCACCCTGACCTGCAGTGCTAAGTGGTCACACACACAAAATGTAGTTTTGGATAATAAAAATGTTTTATGCAGTGTTTAGAAGAGTTCTATCAAGATGTGGCTACGCAAAAACCTGTGGGAGCTTAAGAATGCTAGGTGAGGGTGTAGGTTTCCAGTAGTATCGTACTGGGAACCAAATCCTTGGTGAAAATGCAGTCATATACACGTACAAACTTCTCATTGATACCATCTTTTTTAAATGATCTTGCTAGTCTAAGTCCCTACAGCAAAAGCACTTTTATGCCACAACTCCTCTTACAGCACGAGGGCACCAAGCTGCTTCCATGTCCTGAGAAAACTCTTTGAGTAGATTAGCCTACGGAACAAAAAGCAGATCTGGCTGCTTAAGGTTGTATAGGTGAAAAATGCTAGTAAAGGGCAAATAGCTTTTGCACAGCAAAAAGTAAGCAAATATGATATATTTATCTTATAGAAACAGAAACACATGCAAGTTTGGGACATCCTCTTTGATCCAAACACCAGCCTGTAACTCGCTGTCCAGCTCTGCTTCCCTGCCCACCACAAAACCAGGAGGCACCGCAAGTGCATTCATTCAAAACTGCCTTTGTGTTTCTTGAAGGATGCAACTGCAATCACCTGTTGATTCTCCAATCCCCTTTTCTTCTTTTCCTTTTCTTCCCAACCCAGAAATGCCCATGCGCAGTCTAAGGGGCGAGCAAGGTCCCCCTGGTGAGCCCGGACCAAGAGGGCCACCTGGGCCACCAGGATTACCAGGCCACGGTGTGCCAGGAGCCAAAGGAAAACCAGGCCCACAAGGATATCCAGGAATTGGGAAGCCAGGTTTGCCAGGAATGCCGGGGAAGCCGGGGGTCATGGGGCCCCCTGGGCCGAGAGGGGAGATGGGGCCAAAGGGGGAGATTGGGCCTATGGGGATACCCGGGCCACAAGGACCACCAGGGCCCCACGGGCTTCCTGGCATAGGGAAAGCGGGTGCTCCAGGGCTGCAGGGACAGCCAGGGCTGAAGGGTGAGCCTGGGATGAAGGGCCCTCCAGGAGCTCCTGGGATCCCAGGGCCAAAAGGGGAGAAAGGCGTGGGGATCCCAGGATTGCCGGGGCTGAAGGGTCCGCCTGGACTGCCAGGCCCCCCTGGCCCCGTGGGGCTGCCAGGGGTTGGCAAGCCAGGCATGGTCGGCTTCCCTGGCCCACAGGGACCCCTGGGCAAACCCGGACCCCCAGGAGAGCTGGGGCTGCAGGGGCCCCCAGGCGCCCCCGGAATGCAAGGCCCTCCTGGCCTGCCTGGAGTCGGCAAACCAGGCCAGGATGGCATCCCCGGCCAGCCTGGCTTCCCGGGTGGCAAAGGGGAGCAGGGCCTGCCAGGCCTGCCAGGGCCCCCTGGCCTCCCTGGGGTTGGGAAGCCAGGCTTCCCTGGGCCCAAAGGTGAGCGCGGAGTGGGTGGCCTGCCGGGGCCCCTGGGGCCAAAGGGGGAGAAGGGGCATGCAGGGCCACCTGGTATGGGGGGGCCCCCAGGGGAGCCAGGCCAGCCGGGGCTGCCAGGCATCATGGGCCCCCCAGGGGCCGCTGGCTTCCCGGGACCCAAAGGAGAAGGTGGTGCTGTTGGGCCACCAGGACCGGTTGGTCCCAAGGGTGAACCTGGCCTGCAGGGGTTCCCGGGAAAGCCAGGCTTCCCTGGGGAAGTGGGGGCCCCAGGGCTGCGGGGGCTGCCAGGCCCCACAGGACCCAAGGGGGAGGCTGGACACAAAGGCTTGCCGGGGCTGCCGGGTGTCCCAGGGCTTATGGGGCCGAAGGGCGAGCCAGGACTCCCCGGTGCCCAGGGTCTTCAGGGCCCCTCGGGCATCCCGGGCATTGCAGGACCCAGCGGTCCCATTGGCCCCCCAGGGCTGCCAGGGGCTAAGGGGGAGCCCGGCATGCCCGGACCCCCCGGCTTCCCTGGCGTAGGCAAGCCCGGTGCGGCGGGGCTGCAGGGACCCCCAGGGAAGCCTGGAGCACTCGGTCCCCCTGGCCAGCCCGGACTCCAGGGGCCACCCGGCCCTCCCGGGCCCCCGGGTCCCCCGGTCGTGATCCCACCCACTCCACCGGCCGTGGGACAGTACCTGCCCGAGGTGAGGCCGGGGATAGAGGGCCTCAAGCCCCCCTACAGCTACAAGGGCAAGAAAGGCAAGGCTGGCGGTGCCGTCTATGAGATGCCAGCATTCACGGCAGAGCTCCTCACCCCCTTCCCCCGGGTCGGGGTGCCCGTGAAGTTCGATAAGCTCCTCTACAACGGCCGGCAGAACTACAACCCCCAGACAGGGATCTTCACCTGCGAGATCCCCGGCATCTACTACTTCGCTTACCACGTGCACTGTAAAGGGGCCAACGTCTGGGTGGCGCTGTTCAAGAACAACGAGCCGCTGATGTACACCTACGACGAGTACAAGAAGGGCTTCCTGGACCAGGCTTCGGGCAGCGCCGTTGTCCCGCTGATGCACGGAGACAAGGTTTACGTTCAGATGCCATCCGAGCAGGCGGCAGGACTCTATGCCGGGCAGTACGTTCATTCGTCTTTTTCAGGATATTTATTGTATCCCATGTAAAACAAAAACCAGACACACACACACAGAGTCAAAACCTTTCTTCTCTACTTCAAATTTTATACTATGAAAGATGCATTTTATGACTGTTTCACACCATCTTGTACAAAAAAAAAATAAAATACAAAGTTTAACGTTATGCACAGCTAGTTATAAAAATAATAATAAAAAAGGTGTGGTGAACATATCTACAGATGTTTATCAGGTTCAGAAGCAGTATTTTGCACCCGAGGGGGACATATTAGCTGTACGCTATATATTTCTGTGATGCCATGCTTACTTCATCCACAATAATTCAGTGCTAAGGTTCAGGTCAGTGTGCATCACTCACTCCTGTTGTGTGTTTCACTGACTGTAGTTACAAGATAAAAACCTGTGACTTACACCAGAATAGGTCAGTCTCAAATAATACGGAAAAAAATTGAGTGGCTTTTTATTTGTTTGGGTGTTTGTTGGTTTTGTGTTTTTTTTTCGGGGGGGGGGGGTGGTGGTGGTTGACAGCAGGTCTGCCTGACAAGCATAGGTCTCTTAGCTGGGGACCTTTATTTCCCTTCCCCCCACATAACGTATTCCTGCAGATGTGTTTTTACTGAATGATTTATTTATGATGGAAAAGGGGTATTGATGGTGTGACTATTCCTCGGGGCCCTCCTCCAGGAGCCACTGGACCCTGAATGTGCCCACTGACGCTAGCAGGCGCTGGGTTCACCTCCCAGTGCTGCAGCACTCAGAGAGCCTCCATCTGCATTTGTACAGTTGAAGTAGCTGGGGTAGATCAGAGACAAAACTGAGGGGTTCCCCATTTGCTTTTTGCCACATGATGGAGACATTTTGACCAGCACACGGCAATGCAGAAGGGTGGGTATAAATTTGCTCAGATTTCTGTACTCATGATAAGAACCTGCATCTGTCTGGCTTGACAAAAGAGACACCTGTTCTGCCACTCAACACAAGTTAAATCAGTTTCTTCTTCAATGACTAGGCAAAGCAGAAGTAGCTCTGCTTGTTAATTAACTTTTAGTTTGTTGTTTGAGATGAACCAGTAATTTTACCAGCAATACTGATCATGCAACTTTATCCAAGAACTGTGTTTTATGTAAAAGCTGATTTCCCATCCTTATTTATATGCTACCTGTTGCCAAGGAGAACCTGCAGGCCTCCATCTTTTCTGTACATGAGGAGAGCAACTTCCCTGTGAGAGCTGTCTGCTCATCAATGGTGCTAATCTCACCTCCGAAGTATTTGCTTCCAAAGGGCAAGGTGCTTTGCTGTGGTTCCCTGTGCGGTGCTGCACATCACACACTGTTATGCTAGCTGAGCGAGTTCAATACTCATCACTTCTTCAATGTCTTTAGCTAATGCTACCGCTTTTGATTCAAAAATGAACTAGATTTTTCATGCAGAACTAAGATTGGATTTAACTGGCATTACTGTTATTTAAATGCAGAGTTTAATGCAGTCTAACATTGACTAAGGACTCCAGTGATATAATGTGGTGCTTTATCTCAGAAATTCTATGGAACGGTGGCAGGAACGGCTGGACAGTTTACCAGGCATTGGTGACTTCAGTGTGTTCTCAGAATATGAGAGAGATGTCAAAAGCAAATAATTTTGTATTTAAAATTTTTGTACTGATTTGAAAAAAAAATATCTTATTAAATATCTTAAAAAAAAAATTAAAATCCTGTTTTCATTCAGCAGAAACATTAGAAGGAACATTCAACACGTGGGAAGCCAAGAAATCAGGCAGTGTAGAGGTACACTACTAAGGGTTTCTGATCTCCCAAAAACTCTGGCTGGCAGCCCAGGCTGGGAGACTCACACCATGACCCTGGCTCTCCCTGGGATTTGGAAACAGCTTTTCCTATGACACCTCATTCCCATTTTTCACCTGCAGCATAAACCTAGTGTGAAAGCAGCAGCACAGCTGTCACTGATCTACATCACTAATCAACTGTGGCTCCATTGCTGACAGAAGGTAGACTTAAATGAGAAACTAGAAGTTGTTCTTTGCTATGAGTGGTGTGAGACACTGGCAGACAAACTGTGGCTACCCCATCCCTGGCAGTGTTCAAGGCCACGTTGGACAGGGCTTTGAGCAACCTGGTCTAGAGGAAGGTGTCTCTGCCCATGGCAGGGGGTTGGAACTCCGTGATCTTTAAGATCCCTTCCAACCCAAACAGTTCTATTATTCAATGCGTAAGTTATAACCGATGGTGTAGCTCCCCCAGTCTCACCCCAGACAGGCATTCCCTCCAGGCTGTCAAACTCCTAAACTGTCAGTACCAAAATGAAGGTATTTCATACCTACTTGTGTCAGGTAATCCTTTTCTAAACCTCCCTTAAGACTCCCTGAAGCTGCTGGCTAAGCAGCTCCCTGCTCCCCAAGCAGCTCCCTGCTCCCCAGCATCTCAGTTTTACCATACTGAGAGAAAGAGAAAACAAAACATGAGTGAAGTATCACAATCAGTGCCTCCCACTTTCTATCTAAAGTCTTTTCATCACACACCATCTTCCTAGTTAAACATCTTTTATTTTAGCAATCCCCTGGAAGTCCCCCATAAGACAGGCAAGATTAAAAAAAAACCATGAAAAACTGAAATCAGGAGTATGCTGCTCTGGATCATACCCACAAAAAAGCTATGTCCCAGCCTCGCTTTTGCTCAGCGTGGAGTGAGCTCTCCACCTGCAGTACAGCTCAGACCTATTCAGCTCTGTTTGCTTTACTAAGCACCAAAGCTTGTTCTGAAACTCAACCCCATATCTGACAACACTGTGTGTACTTTACACACCATTAATAATGGGGCTGACCATGCCTGCGCATCTGCACATGCAGAGAGTGCTGACCTTGCAAAAATAAGCCTGAGGGCACTGTCTTTAACAGAGTTTATTCACAGGACAATAATCTCTTTCCATTTGTAGCATTCAAAATTTCATGCAACACAACTGCAAGGATGTCTTCAAAATACAGCTGGCACTTTAAAAGCATATAAAACTTAAGACAAATGGTAAATAAAGTAAGTATTTACTGATACCAGAAAGAAATGTTGGGTTTCCTATGTTCTTAAAAATCAGACTCCATCTAAAAGTTATTTATACCACCTCCCAGGGAACTGTTAAAAAGGGAAAGTATAGCCTAGGAAACGAGGTACCATATACTCATAATTAGACACCAAAGTTCTGTATTATTATCACCAATACAGTCACTGGAAATGTCATTTATCATGCCTTTCAGGCACTCTCAGGTTCGTATTTAGTGCAATAGTCTGCAACCTTCCTTTTTAAGTCAGCTCTCAGTACTTCTCTCAGTTATTACAGCAGAAGAAAAAAACACTTTCCTGATAGAAAGCAAACAAAAAAAACCCTAAAAGTCTGAGCCCAAGCAAGCTTTCAGCTGACACCTGCCATCCTGCTTGTTCTGGGCATACTCCACTACCTTAGAGCTGGGTCTTTACTACGGTGCAGTGTTTTGAGCAGGGCGGCAGATAAAATGCAGGAGCACCTCTGCTGTAAGGTGCTGCGGTCTCAGACCTCAGCAGGCTGCTGCAGAACAGGACAGAGGAAGACGGGATGAGAGCACTTGACTTTGCAATTGATACAGGAAGAAAATGGACAGGAGGTACTGGGTACCTATAGTTACAGTTACCACTCATGGAAACAGAGCTGGCAGCACCTTGGCATTCAAGATTGGCAGCTTGGCAGATGACGATGTGATTCAAAACAAAGGGGAGCTGTTAAAGGGAAGCTTCAGTGCAGAGATTTCACTTTCAGGAATGACAAAACTAGAAAAACAGAATCTTAGTAGCAGCTCACTCTCAAAAAAAGATCTAAGTTTTTGGAGTTAGTATTATTTCTTTTTCCCAAAGTCCCAAGGCAAGTCTTTGGTTCTGCAAAGTGCATGTGGAAACATATGCCTGGATAGAATAGGCACCATCATCTGTGAAACACTCACTCAGGTATTCCTGCCCAAGTGAAGCTGATGGAAAACCCACTCCCATCCTCAAGGCAGTGTAGCAGAAACGACCATGTGAAGCAGGTGATGAAGCAGGGTTGGAGTACACAGAATCTTACTGAAACATCTTACAGGAGGGAAAATCAATCACTTGAGTTGCTGCTTAGTATTGAAGAAAAAGTTACTGGCCTGCAAGCTGTGCTTTCCAAAGCCCTAGTGCCCAGTGGTTTAGCAACAGTACCAGCTCTTGTCTCGGTCCCAAGTGAACAGTTTGGCTGTAAATGCTCCCCAGCCACCCAGAACAGTAACCTGGCATACGTGGACTTGACGCCCCTGCAGGAGCACAGCAGTAGGGGGAAAACATCCCTGGGAGTATTGCTTAATTTCCAAAATGTCAGTCACACAAACAGGGAGGCTTATTAAGAAGAAATACAATAAAAAGGGGCAGCTGATAGGGCTAAATGCTTGTGGACAGCATGTTAAATGTGTTGAGAATCCAAAAACATTATTAAAAAGCCCCAAGCAAACCAACCAACCCAACAAAATTGTTAGGGAGACCAAAAAAGCTGATGTGGTAGAAAAATAGCAAAGGAGCCTAAGTAAAAAGTTTGGGGAACACCATTTGTTTGCCACGAAGCCTTTTTTCCAATTACTTTCCTTGGATTCTAATTCTAACAGAACAAAACCCTCTGAAGAGGCAATTTAGCATAGAAAATACGCACATCCTCAAAGGCAGAGCTCCCTACCCACCTCCTGCTACTGGGGACAGGGGTTGCAGAAGCAGAGGGGAACAGCAGCACCATCACAAGAATGCAGGACTTTGGGGAGAGAGCAAATTCTACAGCTCTCTTGGACAAAATCCTCATGGTCAGCGTACAGAAAGACATGGATGTGGCTGGATCCATGGCTACAGCCCATACCAGACCACTTCTGTCTGGCTCTATTCTCAACAGTCTGAGATCTGCCAAGGACTTCTACACAAAGAGAGCTCACTCAACACGGCCTCTGTGAAAAGCATTACATACACATTTTCTTTCCCATGGAATTACTATGTCAGGAGTTCAAATCACTGCAGTGACAAAAAACCTTTTTAATGAACTGAAATTGCCATGAGAAATAAATGCTGGTGGAAGCAAAGGCATAGCATCACTTTTTGCAGATGCAAAACCCTACTTGTTTCTATTCAGATTTTTTTTTAAGCAACTATCTCCTCAAATCCCAGAACAATGAATGTCAAAAAAAAAACAAAACACCAAAAATCCAAACAAACAAACAAAAAACTAAGAACCCTTCTGTCATATGGGGAAGACATTCTGGTTTCCTCCATTTCCAGTTCTGGTTTCCCCCCTTTCCAGCACCACAGCCCCACACCGCCCATGTTCCATTCCCCTGCATGCCCTTGCCCTGGGCACAGCTGGACAAGTGGTCACCCCCTGCACCATCACCTGCAGCAGCTAGGCCCAAAGGACACACATCCAGATCGCAGGACACCATGGCACAGCCTGACCCTTGCTGGGGACACGTCTGGGTCCTTCCCCAATCCTTAACACAGATTCTTATGACATTCAAAATTATTTCAGATACGTTCCTTTTGCATGAAAAGGACCAAAGCTCAGGAGTCATTAGGTAACAGCACAAACCTCCTCCTCTTTGGCTGTAGCTACCCCCCAAATCACACTGCCCTCACTGATTCCCAAACAGCAGAGCCAAGGAGCTGAAGCTGGACATGACAACTACAGGAACATGGGGGTTTTAAATACCTATTTAAACACCTATATATCACTCTTCAAGAGAAACAGGAAAAAAGAAAGATGACTCTTTGGTCACTTCAGAGCTTATTCCTCTAGGTTGCTGCAGCAAAGAAACTGCATTTGGTACTCTCGTAACCTTCAGCTTCTAGGAAAAAAAATACTGTGCTCTCAACCTGCTAGAGGTTTGTATTCATCTCTTAATTGTTTGGACTGCTCCTAAATGTACTAAAAACCTCTCTATATAATTTTATTTAAAAGCAGCAAAGGTTTTTCTACCAACTTTAAAGATGTCTTTTTTCTTTTTGAAGTGGACTTCATTGTACTTTCTTTAGATGTGATTGATCAAGGTAACATAAGATCTGCAAATCTGACACAATTAGAAGAAAATAATACACCGTCCGAGAGAATTGGAACAACACATTGCTTGTTCTGCTTTGACAGCTGTCAAGGGCATTTCCAGGCAGATTTAACTCATTCAGCTGGCTTGCCTGAGACAAACCAGTACAGCAAAGAAACATCTCATCACATGTTTCAATTAAAAACCACTAAATGATTTAGTTCAGCCACAACCTTTAAACCTAAATGTCAAGACAGGACAAGTAAACAGAAGCCAAGTGATAATTCAGCTGAGGCACATCTTGGTATTCCCCAAGCACACTCTATTCCAAAAATGGAAACATTCATTGTTCAAATTGACACATTTCAAAGGTGGAAGCACATTACAGCATCTGAGAAAGGAGACTGTTCTGGTCTGGAAAAATACACCTTGATTCTTGGGAAGCAAACAGGAAATACAAAAGATCCTGTCCTAGAGATCTAGGAATCCAACAAGCATTGGCTCCAAATTTAAACTCGGGCATGAACATCTGTGTCCCAGCTCACATCTCCATTGTAGTCTCAGGGAAGCTGTTAGGACAACTCTTCAGTCTTCATACGCCCTCTTTTCCAAGTCACAAACTGCAAAATTTACTGGATGCGCAGGATGGGGAGTATGATTTTCCATAAACTGGTTACACCACAAACACTGTCAATCCCAACACGTCCATAAATAGGGCCGAAGGGTCTCCATCTTTGGCAAAGGCAGACCGCTGTTCAGAGCTGATGGCCAGTGCAGAAGTTGTGGCTTCTTTGCTGAAGAGGGATGTCCCCTCCTCAGGAGGAGGGCAGACCAAAACCTGCACACTCTGTGTGTTCCCCCTTCTCCCAGCCACACAGTAAGGATTTATAGGCATCGCTTTACAGCTGTTTTCATACTACAGGAGAGACATTCAAGACTTTACATCCATCTACTTATTAAACACTGTTTTTTTTCAGTTTTGACAGGGTAATTCTTGGGGGACAACATCAGAAACAAAAGTATTCCAAAGAAGTGACTGTTTGTAAAGAGTTCTTGCTGATAAATAAGTGATATGCATCACATTTTTATATATCCCTGATACTTTCAGCTGAAAGTTTCATGGTTTTCCCATTATTAGACAGCTTCACAGAAATTCAGTTAACTGTTTGCAATAGTCTTTTACCCTTGGGCTTAGAAGAAGATTCTGCCTTAGTGAGGTTTCTGTGTTTCTTTTAAACAGTAAACAGTCATGCTGCACTTAAAAAATAAAAATGTCATACAAAAAAATATATTTTTTTTTTTAAATCTTGAAAATAGTGATTGTTCTTCATATGTTCCACTCAGCTCTCACGTCAAATTGACCACAAAGTTCTTGTCTATAAGCTTCTTCAAAAATTTCTGTTCAGCATTGATGTTGTGGTATTCATTCTAAAGAGATAAAAGGAAATAATAAAAAGTTAAATTCAAACTATTACCAGAAGCATCACTCTGTTGTTCTTTCCTTTTAATTACCTGTGGTACTTGGAAGATCTAAGAGTAGGAAAGCTCTAAGGAAAAGACTTCTCAGCAAAGTTGCAGCATATTCTTCCAAGAAAACAGGTGAGGGACTTTTGCTCAAAACTAGATTAGATTTTCCATTAGGACAAAAACCAAATTGGAAGATCCTTCAGTGGCAAGAATGGGTGAGATGTGGTCTCAGAGAAGACCTTCCATTGCTACCTCTCCCAACTCCTCCCTGTGCTGAGACGGAACAGCTGCATAACCACATTTACAACACAAGTGGTGAAAAAATGATTAATTCTCAAAGCTCAACGCAGGTTCTTGAAAAGCACTCATCAGGCATCTGGAAATCAGATGCATGCTGCCAATCAGTTTCAACAAGCCAAAACTAGCCCATCTTCTGGGCTGTATCCAGATCCTGGATACACAGAGACCACTGAGGCTGGGGGAGGACAGCACAAGGGAAGCCAGTTTACTGACAATCTTAGACACTGAATCCAGTAAATTAAAATGAATACAAATACTGCATAAAAGACTGTACATATACAATATTTGCAACTCAATGCCACTAAAGAATTGATGACCGGTTTAGTTAGTTATTTTTTAAAGTTTCAAGATCTGAGGAAGCTTATAGATATCTATTCAACTAATGATCAACCTTAGCCAAGCTTGGTGTACAGTGCAAAAAAGTGCCTCAAAATGAAGCAAGTTCAGTGTCAGAGCAGCAGTCCAGAGAGACACAAGAGGCCCCTATGAGCATTGTCCCTGTCCTTCCTCTCCAGGAAAGGGAGGAGGAGAGAAAACGGTGCCCATACACACTGGGCCATATCCACATGGAAGAGAAAACTGGTGACATTGAGGTAAAGGGCTGAGATGGAGTTGCTCACAGTGTGGAACTGAAGACAAGAGCAGAGACATAAAAGAAAACAGAGGCATGACCATAGCAAAGCAGGAGGGAGGAGAAGGCACCACAGATGTCTGCCAGCCTCCTGCTGCTCCTCTCCTAGTGAGCTGTGGCTTCCCCCTCCTGGAAGCAGCTCCTCTTCCTCTAAGAGCCGCTTACCTTTTCTGCTTTCCATTTCAGAAATTCAGTTCTTTTCCTAACTGCAAGTGTGTAGGTCTTAACTTCTTCAGTTTCCCTTTGCTTTTATTTCTTTTTTAAAGAATTTTGGCATCTGTGACAAACTGCGCAAGTAGGTGCCAAGGAAAAAGAGAATACAAATAGAAACAACACTATTCATGTTCCGACAGCGCTAGCTAATACACTTCTACGAACAAGAGCTGTGTAGCCTTAAGGATAACACCAGCAAAGCAAACAGAACATACAAATGGTTGTATCTCATGCAGACATTGCAGAATACAGTGGTGCACAAGGGACATAAATACCATTATCCATATTTTTCAGAAACAAAAGCAGAGATGAAGAGATTCAAGCAATGATAATACATGAGCAGCTGACTTAGCATCAAACAGGAGGCCTGTGGACCTGGAGTCCACACTTCTATCTACTCAATTGACTTCCCCAGTTACCAGCTATATTTCTCTTAACATAAACAAGCGTTTGTTACCTGCATCATCTGAGACATTGTGTCATTGCCGTAGTAGTGCAAAGAACTGTTTCTGTCAGTGAAGTCGTACTTGAAGCCTGCCAGGTGAACTTCATGGCATATGTGAAATGCTAGTGTAATGGCAATTAGCCCTGTTGTTGGATGCTTGGGTTTCTAAAAGGAAACACAAAAAGCACACATACATAAATAACCAGCAGCTTGATGGGAACAGCAAGAATAAAGACAGTGGAAATCAGACAGCCTCGCTCTTCTACAGATGGTTGGGTTTGTAGTTTGATCCCCTTGTGTCTCCTAAGGGGTAAGGTACTGCCTGCAGGTGTTTCATGACTGAGGTGTTGCCATACTGGCCTTTCCTGGCATTCTCCATTTCTAGCGAGGGCTGAGCCCACACTGTAGCCCTTCCCTCCACACAGGCATCAGGGAAGTCTCCCCATTGCTCTGCTCAGCACCTACTTTCAGGAAACTGGTCAAGCTTCAATGTATTGGAGACCATTTCACCCCATCATATTTGACATATGTGTTCAGAAGTTTCTAGATGATGGAGATCCAGATGAACAGAACAACATGACATTGCACCAATCTAAAAAAGCATGAATGCTACTGCTACATAAATTTCACTGCATTTGAACTTTTTCAAAGAAAGAAAATTCCAGAAGACCACAGCTTTAGAACTCCCCCACTATCTGCATTAAGAAGAAAAGAAACTTTAGATGAAATTGCTTATTTCTCCCTACAGTGAGATAGCTCAGAAGTAAATGCAATGTAAAATATCAAGAGCAGGTCAGAAACAGGATTTAAGTGGAAAATTATGAGCATCTAACTGAAAATAAACATTTCTTACAAGAACATGGAGCAACTCATTGCAACCATCTGTGCTGTCTTGTGATCAAGTACATCATGACTGTTTTAGCAGCAGCAGGGGGTAACGTGATCTGGGGTAGTAAATGAGGCAAGGCTTGCAGATAGTGAACTCTTTCATGAGACCAACATGCTAAGGGGATGCTGGTCTAACAAAAGCTGCGGGGGGGGGAAAGCATCCCCAGAAATGGACGAAACTTTCAAGCACTGATGTCCTTTGCTAAAATAACAGTTTTCTCAGAGACCAAATGAGCTGCACACTCTCAGTATCTGCAATCAAATCTCAAGCTGAGTGCAAAATCATGCACTTTTCTGAACTCCTACCCAAGGCTCAGTTAATTTGCCTCTGAAAACAAAGCAGACAAACCAGCATGAGACAGCTTTGTACAGAGAGAAGGCAGATGCACTTGATGATACAGAATATTTTTCTGTAAAGAATAATATACAGAATATTTTTCTGTATCATAAGATGAAAGAACCCCAGGAAAAGGCTACTAACATCAACTCTGTAAGCCTATTTAAAGTCACAGAACTGAACTATCAACTTTTATGTAGATTTTTTGGTACCATTATACAACTCTTGGAGTGCTCCAGAAATAACATCAACTTAAAATGCGTGCTATTGTCCAGGGCTCCTGCCAGTTAGCAAAATAACCTTTTGCCCTCAGGGCCCAATACCATCAATTTAGTGGTGACTCTGCAATGTCCACACTAAACAGAACACAAAAATGATGGCAGGAATGTGACATGTCAGGATTAGTGCCATTTGGAAATAACAGGAATTCCACAGGTTGCAACTAGCTCTGTTTACCTTTAACTATCATAAAGTTCATCTCAAAAAAAATAATATAAGCAACACTATTAAAATGTATTATCATGCCAGTGCCCTAGCAATATCCAGATATCCTTGGCTTGTAATTAAACTTGTTCACATTTAATGGGGATAAGCACAGCCCTGGAATGACTCTGCAACACTTTCTGACTTCAGTGCTGCTGGAGCAGCACAGCTGATTTTGCAGTTGTTCTCCCAGGTCTGCTAACACCACCACAGCTCCTAACAAAGAAACAGAAAAGCTTGTTGGACTACTCATAAGTGCCACTCAGGGAACATGAGGTTGGCTTAATGCAAAAGGCAGACAGCAATAGTGATCTTCCACATCTCCTGCAGGCAGAGGGAGCTTAAGTGCAGGACAGTAAAGGCAGGACCAGGGCTCCCCAAGGACACGCTAACTTGAGAATGAAGACCTTGCGCCCACTGTAGGAGAGGATCTGGTTCAAGACCATCTTAAGAACCTGAACATGCACAAGTCTGTGGGTCCTGATGAAATCCATCCGTGGGTCCTGAAGGAGCTGGCAAATGAAGTTGCTAAGCCACTGGCTACCACATTTGAGAAATCACGGCAGTCAGGTGAAGTTCCCGATGACTGGAAAAAGGGAAATATAACCCCCATTTTCAAGAAGGGAAAAATGGATGACCCAGGGAACTACAGAGCAGTCAGTCTCACCTCTGTGCCTGGCAAAATCTTGGAGCAGATTCTCCTGGAAGGCATGCTAAGGCACATAAAAAACAACAAGGTGCTTGGTGACAGCCAGCATGGCTTCACTAAGGGGAAATCCTGCCTGACCAATTTGGTCGCCTTCTATGATGGGGCTACAGAACTGATGGACAGGGGTAGAGCAGTTGATGTCATCTACCTGGATTTGTGTAAAGCGTTCGACACTGTCCCACACGACATCCTTGTCTCTAAATTGGAGAGACATCAATTTGATGGATGGATCACTCGGTGGATAAAGAACTGGCTGGATGGCTGCACATGAAGAGTTGTGGTCAATGGCTCAATGTCCAGCTGGAGACCAGTAACGAGTGGTGTCCCTCGGGGATCAGTGTTGGGACCGGTCTTGTTTAAGATCTTCATCGCTGACATGGACAGTGGGATTGAGTGCACCCTCAGCAAGTCTGCCGATGACACCAAGCTGTGTGGTTTGGTTGATATGCTGGAGGGAAGGAATGCCATCCAGAGGGACCTTGACACACTTGTGAGGTGGGCTGATGCCAGCCTTACGGAGTTTAACCATGACAAGTGCAAGGTCCTACACCTGGGTCAGAGCAATCCCAGGCACAGCTACAGGTTGGGCAGAGAAGAGATTCAGAGCAGCCCTGCGGAGAAGGACTTGGGGGTGCTGGTTGATGAGAAAATGAACATGAGCTGGCAGTGTGCGCTTGCAGCCCAGAAAGCCAACTGTATCCTGGGCTGCATCAAAAGGAGGTCAAAGGAGGTGATCCTGACCCTTTACTCTGCTCTTGTGAGACCTCACCTGGAGCATTGTGTGCAGTTCTGGTGTCCTCAACATAAAAAGGACATGGAACTGTTGGAACAGGTCCAGAGAAGGGCCACGAGGATGATCAGGGGACTGGAGCACCTCTCGTATGAAGACAGGCTGAGGAAGTTGTGCCTGTTCAGCCTGGAGAAGAGAAGGCTGCGTGGAGACCTCATAGCAGCCTTCCAGTATCTGAAGGGGGCCTGTAGGGATGCTGGGGAGGGACTCTTCATTAGGGACTGGAGCGATAGGACAAGGGGTAATGGGTTAAAACTTAAACAGGGGAAGTTTAGATTGGATATAAGGAGGAAATTCTTTCCTGTTAGGGTGGTGAGGCACTGGAATGGGTTGCCCAGGGAGGTTGTGAATGCTCCATCCCTGGCAGTGTTCAAGACCAGGTTGGACGAGGCCTTGGGTGATATGGTTTAGTTTGAGGTGTCCCTGCCGATGGCAGGGGGGTTGGAACTAGATGATCTTAAGGTCCTTTCCAACCGTAACTATTCTATCATTCTATGATTCTACTGGACAGAAAGCTCCTAAATGGGTCCTGCAGAAGTCCACCCTGACAACAGGAACCCCTGAGGTACAACCTGCAGCTTAAGAGAGCAACTACAGATGTGCAGGCTCCTGTGACAGCCAACCTCTGAGACGGAAAAAAAAGCATGCCTGATCTTGATCATTTGCTGTCACTGGGGACATTTGCTGCTACCAAATGCCTGGGATGAAGCAAGCGCAATGTAGAGGTAGCAGAAGGGGGCTCCAAGAATGGATGTGCTCTACCTAGCTCTGGGCAGGAACGCCCAGTGAGCTAGAGAAGAGCAAAGGGCATGTATGCTACACAAGCAACTGAGAGGCCTGTGCCTCCATACCAGCTCGAGCACACCACAAACATATCTAGCTCAGCAACAGCATTGCCTCACTTTTACACCCACTGAGAGAGGAGGAATTTCTGGAGCCATGGAGGCCATGAATGTTCTATGGCCCTTTAGGAGACAGTCAGGCACCCAACTACTATGCTGCTTTCTTCCCACCCTTGGCTGAAGAGCTGAAATGCCATGGATCCTCAGCAAGCATGCAGTCAAACTGGGTATTCCAGTTTTCAGAGTTAACAAGGGAGGGAAAAAGCCACTGGTAGGCTCGAAAAGACAGAATTTTACAAAGATTTAAAAAAAAAAAAAAAAAAAGGCACAAAACCTCCCCAAAGCAAAAAACCCTCAACTCCCTCAAATATTACAAAGTTTAAACCAGAAAAAGTTGTGGCAGACACTGTACAGTGACAGCCTGTCAAATGTTTCTGCACATGTCAGTTGGCTGATCCTGATGAGGCAGCTCTGTGCAATGATGTGACCCTAGGGAACTGCATCTGTGCTACACAGCACGTGGTCAGTCCTGACTGTGTAAGAGAGGTCTGCAGCTTGAAGCCTTACCTTTCATCAGAAACATTCCTCAGTCATAAACTGACAGTTAAAACTATTTTTGTGTCCAAATTGCCAGTTAACTCATTACAATGCTTGGCATCAAATCAGTAAGCACACAAATGCTGCCAGACATATGTCATTAGTGCAGGGCTGGAATATCCTGTATGCGCCTCAGTCCTTACCCACCCCCAGCAGTGGGAAACTGCAGCAGTCTTAGAATTACTGCGAGCTGTGTGCGGGGGTATGTGTATTTTTGTGTGGGGGTTTTTATGGTGTTTTGTTTCTGCTGGGATTTTGGGGGGATTTTTTGTTTGTTTGTTGTTTTGTGCAGTTTGGGGTTTTGTCAATATTTGTGGTTTTGGTTTTGTTTTTAAGGAAAAAAAATATATAACACCTTGCATTTAATATTTCAAGACTCCTTAATATTTCCAGAGGCTCTCTGGATCTGCCATGCTCCAATACCTCTCTGGTTTTCCCAATTTTGTAAAAGACATTACGTCTGTGTGCAAAAGCAGTCTCATTTAATACTAATTACAGAATAGGTGTACAAGGCTACCCACTCTTTCTGGATTCCATTTTTCCATCTTTTCTAAGCATCATTCTAAATGCAAACTACTGCAATGTGAACCTAAAAGATGTTCTAACATAGTCCACTATAATAAAGAGAAAATTACCTCTGAGTATACATTTGGTTGCATGAAACTGAAAGGCACAATTAAAAACCCTACCTCCTTCTTGGGAAACCTTGTTGGGAAACGAAGCCATTCATAAGCTGTTTTTCTGGTGATGCTGGGATCAAGAATCCTGATTTGACTAGATTTGTATATCATGTTCAGAGCCGGTTTCTTCCAAAAGCCTTTAGCACTCTGTAACAGGTAAGCAAATACCCATTTTCAGCAGCTATAAATGGCTGATTTTTGTTTTTTAGCAGCTCTAATGAGAATAAAATCCAAGGGCAGGAGGTTGAAGAAGGAGAGCTGAACCTCCCGAAGTTCAGCAAAGACATGTGCAAATTGTACTCCTGCAATAGATAACCCACTGCAGCAGCAGAGACTGGGGCCAGCTGCCTGGAAAACAGCTTTGCAGAAAGGTCCCTGATGGACCAGCTGTATGCCCCAGAGGCAATAAACGCGAATTGTGTGCTTGGCCACATTAGTAAGAGCATAAGGAACACTTAGACAGATGTTATCATTTTCAAAGCACTTTGCACTGTGCTTTTCTGAGATCTCACAAATGCTGTTTTGGGTTCTCCCCTTTTGTGCAAGTGTCAAACTTTGGCAAGCTCAGCAGGCAGCCATTAAAATGGCCAAGGGGCCAGAGAGCAGGGCAAACAAGAGGGTCTGAGAAAACTGTGTTTATTCAGCCCATCTTAACTATTTGGTCAGGGTTTACAAAAAGAGATAGCATCAGACTCTTTTCAGATGCACACAGTGAAAAGATGAGAAATTCTTTCCTGTGAAGGCACTGCAGTACTGAAACAGACGTTACAGAAATATCCCTGGAAATACTCAAAATTTACCTGGACCATGCCCTGAGAGCCTGGCATGGCTTTGAACCTGGCCTTCCTTTCTTTCAACAAGGTTTTGGACTAAAGACCTCCAAAGAGAGGTCCCTTCCAACATTATTCTGCAATTCCACCAAGTGTGCAGGATAAAATATTCTGGGAAATGGCTGGAACATGCATGCCATAATATGAAACAGTGCTAGGAAGAGGATAAAAAGTTATCTTGAAGAGGAAAAGGGATGAGGAACTGATTAAATATTTGTTCAACTATACTGTTCTGATCAAGTATACTGATCAAATATATTGTTCAAGGTCAGGCTGGACAGGGCTTGGAGCAACCTGGTCTAGTGGAAGGTGTCCCTGCCCGTGACAGGGGGTTCGGAACTGGATGATCCTTAAGGTCCCTTCCAACCCAAACCAAACCAATCTATGATTGAAATACTTGTTGTGAGAAAGAGGCCAGAAACATTTATGGGAAAGGGATACTGAGTAGACTGACTAGGAGATCCAGTGCTCCTTCCAGCTAGGAGGACTAAAGTTCAAAGCAAAACAGGTATTTTGAATGAGAGGTGTGTGGCAAGCTGAAGCAAAGTGCATGAATAATTAAACTCACTACTTTCTGACCACCCAGTATCTCCCAAAGCCACTTCAAGTCACGTGGTTTGAAGACAATGAGAACAACAGTTGTATTAGGGTCGTAGTGGATCGGATCTGAGAAGATGGATTCCGGGTAAGAAAGGCGGAAAGTCGTCCTCCTCCCAACATCATCTTCATACCCTATAACAGGGCCATTATTCATTCTGCAAAGGACAGACACAGAGATAGCAATGACCACCCTACCCACAACCTTACTGTGCACTGGCTGGCACACACGTTAGTCTGTTGGAAAGACAGCATGTCCAGGTACAGGAGGGCTTGTTGGCCAGCATTTAGTTATTACATTACATGGTGGATGAGCAATTATCAGGTACACTCACCTTCTAACTCTGAGGGATCAAGCACGCATGGGAACTTGGCCAAGATGGTTTAGAACACAATCACACAATTGCTTATCACGTGTCACTTGAGCAGACAGCCTTCTGATTTGGCTCAAACACAGAAACTAGAGAAGACCAAAGAGAGTATCTGGCTTGGAGAATTACCAATTGCTCCATTCACACTACTAGATGATCTGAGTCATACAGGAGGCAACTGAAGAATGTTCTAATATTCTTCACTATCTACAGCATAAAAGAACAGGGATTATGACTGCATACCTGATGCTGATACATCTTTATGTCTGCCTTTTTTGTCTGCTTGAGGGGTTTGGGGTGTTAAGTCTCTGTTGTTTTTTTTCGTTTTTAAATATTACTTGCACAGCTGCCACTGCTTTGGGATACAGCAGATAAATAAGCAGTGAGCAGGTGGGTCAGAGGGGCTACATTTAAGCCTCCGCCTTGCAGTTTCTGCTTGGTAGGTGTGTTGTGTATTCTTTGGAGAATTCAAGCAGTCCCTGTATGCTCCATCTTTGCCAATGTGACTGACTTCTCAGCATTAGAGGCATGCTGCTTAGAAACAAATGTTTGTAAAACAAAGTATGCAGACAAGGGAGTATTTCAAAGTTTTATCAAAAGTCATCATGAAATACAGAATGCAAACATGACCTCTTTGTTCCTTCACAGTAAGTAAATGCGTACTGTATTTCTGAAGCAGTTTTGAATTTAGAAATGTTTTTAAATGTGTAACAGTAGTCTACACAAAGATTTCCTTTTTAAGAAGAGTAGACAGATCACTGAGGAGCCCAGATACTTGAAATAGGTTTAAAATAATCTCTGGAGCTTCCATGCATCATCATACTACAGAGAAAATAAATGCAAGGCAGGTTTTATTTGTAAAGCACAAAGCTGGCAGGCAAGAGAAGCTTCCTAAGAACAAGGACATTATCTGGAGTCTGAACTTTATAAGAGGAGCTACAACTGAAGAATTCCATGTATTCATTTCCACCTTATCTGTGTTTTCAAATGCATGTCAAACCCCAGGCTTTGTATACAGATTTTTTTATGGTAATGCCTGATGAGTGAAACACGACTATGAAAAAGAGCATTAGGACTGATGGGAAAGTAACAAAAACAAGAACACAATGTTGAAGCATGAAGCAGACAAACTGAAACGGCAGCTCAGATTTTAGCAAAAGAGGGCTTCGGTACACTACCTGACCGACTAAAGGCAGAAGGGCTGTTTAACCAGTTACCATCTCAGTTCTTGCAAAGGAGAAACTGATTTATCTTTTTCTTAATGCGCAGAAAATTGTTATAATTAGCCAAATACTGAATTTTCAGTTTGCTTGGCATTTGAGCTTTTTTCCTCCCCTCTCCTTGCCTGTTCCTCTCTAAGCAGTTCCCCAGTTTCCCCAGCCCAACCCAGTCTTCTTCAGGGCACAGCATTCTCTGGTCTGTCAAAGCATCTTATAAACTTCCAATGTGAACTAACATGCTTGAGAAAAATGGGCAGACATCAACATCATCCTCCATGCATAAACATTTAATTCACTCCAAGCAATGCACAAACCAGCACAGGGGTAAGAGGTGTGGTATGGAAGGTCAGAGGCAGAGCTGCCCAGGATGATGCTCACAGCAAGGGCCACGTGCTTGGACCTATCCCTGATGGCAGCATCTTGCACATGTGTATCTCTGTACATGAGTCAGACTTACCACCCAGTGATCTCTCCTCCCCTGTATCAGTCAATCTGTGTAATAAAACACTGATCCATTTTTTCCTAATTTTTTTAAATGAAGGCTGTGACAGGACAAATAAACCAATCAGTTTTATACATTTGCACTTGTATAATAACTGAACTCTAAAGCAAAAGTTTGTTAATTCTTTGCATGTACACAAAATGAAAAGGAGATACCATTTACCTGATTATCACATCATATGAGTCAATTTTCTCCCCTAATGTCTTATTTCGAAGTACTCCTCCATTACCGACCACGACACAGCGGTGACAGGCGATGCTGTGGAACAAACAGAGCTTTTAATATGCATGACTTCCTTTGCTTCATGTTGCTTTTCATGAGATATTTGCATTTAGCTGGCTTTTTTACTAGTGGAAATCCTGTATCTTTTACACTCCTTGGCCTTTACAGGGTACTCTCAATCCTTTATCATACACTAAGGCTGCTCTCAAAAAAGTAAATGCAGTTGCATTATTTCAGGAACTGCCAAACTTGGAAATTGGCTTCTCTGAAGTAAAACCAGTTTTATACATGTTCTTCTTCCAGTGGTTTGCTGTTTAAGATATCTAACCCAGTTGGTGATATGGGTAATGGCCGTTAGATAAATTATCTTCCACAGTGCTTCAAACTTGTCCCAGTCTGGAGGTATACTAACCAGGACAGAGTACGTCTGAAAAAAATAGCTCAAATTAATGTGCTTCTGCCATACTTGTGACAACTTCACAAATCTAAAGATCTCTAACATAAGCTAAAGCAGTAAGATTTATGTTCACAATTTACCTTACATGCCTCTGAACTGTACGTGTGCAAAACTTTAGCCCAATGACACGCACGATGGCCATTCAAATACTGATTTTTCTCCTTCTACTTGAAAGTGCTGCCTAAGCATGTACTAAGTGCATGCTGTCACGACTTAAGAAGGATATACTTAATTAAAAGTTGCATTCTCATATGACTAGATACAAATTAGACACAAGAAGTATATAAAACACTGTGAGCGTCAAGTTAAATCTTATACTACATGCAACCAGAATAGCTATTCCTCTCAAATTTAGAGTGTTCAAAAGCACCCCAAAAAGGCATCATGAAAAGCGTAAACTTACAAAAAATAGATTCTAAAAGTAAGATTTCCTAAGTTCTCCCTCGTTTTCCAAGTGCATCTTTCACTCCCTACTGTCTTATTTTAATGCTAGTAAAATGTGTGCTTTACTTAAAATAAAGAAAAAGTGCACAGACAGGCTTGCTGGTTTTTTACTCAAGAGAATAGGCCTCTTTTGGGAAGGTTTACACCAAATGTATTAGACTGCAAACTCCTTCTTACAGGACAAGGACATCATTTTTCATTGTAAAACTGCTTCTTCATTTAGAGCATTTCGGCTGCAGCAGGAACAATGGCAAAATAAAAAATTTGGTATTTTCTTCAGACACAAACAGGCTCACAGCTTACTGGGAATGAGTCATCTCCCAGCATCCCACTCCCACAGTTCTTCAAGCAAGCAAAAGGCTCTTTTCTTACCATAGGGCACCTCACGACTATCCCCCAAATACTATAATCTGTATTAAATGCCCAGTGTGTCACTTTATGAAGACTAATTAATATGTTCCTCCTCAGGCAGTCCAACTTGTTTTTTCAGCTGAGAGTATTGTTCAACATCAGTGAAAATAGCTTGTTCCAGCCAAGACCAGCCAACACCTCAAGGTACAAAGCAGTTCCCTGTGTCTCCTACAGAGTTAATGCAGTTACGCTGTACTGCATGTGGGCTATGGGAAAACTGAGCCTCACAGTAATGCTGAAAACCTGAAGCTTACAGGAAAGGTGAAATGTGAATAAATGCCAGAGATAGAAGGCACTGCATTTCAAAAGAAATGCTGGGATGGCACCTTCTCGCCTGCTGCTCCAGAGCCACATCAGCAGAGGGAGTTGCCTCTAAAAAATTTATACATACATGTAAATATATATTTAAATAGTGCTGCTAAACACAGCTTTTAGGGTGGTGTGACATGTAAAAACCTGGCATACCTTTCTCTAGTGTTTCCTGTGCAGCTTAGCAGAAGCCAAGCATTCATAAAAACATTTCCAGCTAATACCACAAGTCTATGTGACTCAGTACCTCGGAAATCAGAGTGGTGAAAACCTGTTCCATCAATGTTCAGATGCCAGAAAGGGACTCTTCATCAGGGACTATGGCAATAGGACAAGAGGTAATGGGTTTAAACTTCGAACAGGGGAAGCTCAGGTTAGATGTAAGGAAGTTCCTTACTGTGAGGGGGGTAAGGCACTGGACCTGTGGAGAGAGGAGCCCATGCCAGAGCAGGTTTGCTGGCAGGACTGGTGACCCCAAAGGGACCCATGCTGGAGCAGTCTGTTCCTGAAGGACTGACCCCACGCTGAAGCAGTTCATGAAGAACTACAGCCCATGGGAAGGACTCATGTTGGAGAAGTTCATTCAGAACTGTCTCCTGTGGGAGGGACCCCACACTGGAGCAGGGGAAGAGTGTGAGGAGTCCTCCCATAAGGAGGAAGGAGCAGCAGAGACAACGTGTGATGTACTGACAGCAGCCCCCATTCCCTGTCCCCTTGTTGCTGCTGGGGTTGGGGATGTAGAGAATTCGTGAGTTAACCCCAGGAAGAAGGGATGTGTGTAAGGCGTTTCAATATTTGTTTTTGTCATTATCTTACTCAGACTTGATTGGTAATAAACATTGAGTCTGTTTTGCCAATGATGGTGACTGGTGAGTGATCTCCCACTGTCCTTATCTTGTGATAGAGTGGCTTTGGTGAGCACTTACCATCCAGCCAAGGTCAACCCACCTCGGCTGACTAATACTACTTGGATGGGAAATTGAATTTGATTCAGAATTTGAAGTCTGATTATGCTTTCAAAGTCCAGTGCCCTTAATAACACACACACTCAAAAACAGAATTATTGGCTGCCTTCAGATAATCCAGAAAGCATCTAACGTTAGTACACGGACTTTTCAAGTGTATAAAGTTAACGAGCAGATCAAGTATTCCTGATGAATTGTACATGAACACAGTCATAAATACACTCAAGCAAATTAGAAAGACCAGCTTTTAATGTCTGTCAAGCTCAGGAAGTCCAAGTGGGCCAACTGAAACAGGAAGTCTGGCACAAATGCCCTCTTGCTGAGCTGTATTTTCTCCTTTGCCCCCCTTCTCTGTATTCAAGTGTACTCAGTTACAATTGTAAGTCTGTGTCCACAGTAACACAGATTTCACTGACAACAATAAGCAGGGAGGGGAATGGTTTATGCTAGCATAAAAAGATTGAATATAATATCACAGAAAACTGACATATTAAATTGAGATAAAGAATATGTAGCCAGGCTGGACTGTATTCAAAGATACTTAAGTTAAATAAACTGACCTGTACTTACTGTCAGACTGTTACTCCCAGATATTTTACCAACCATACTTACAAAGTTTCCTTTTTTTTTTTTAATTAAAAAAACTCCACTCACCCTAAAGGGTGAAAAACACTCTTTCTCCAAATCAATAAATTGGCAAGAAGAGATATAAATTCAGATGTCTTTAAACAACATCAGGTGTGCTACAAGTGAAATGTAACAGACTGAAATGCCTGGAGGTCTAGCTTACAACCACGAGCACAATACTGATGAAAGTGAAAAACAGTAAAACCTCAGTTATAACAATTGCTAAGGGATTGCATTTAGATGTTCAAGATCTACTTAAGAGTATAAATGGACCCTGATGCAATCACATGGTAAATCATCTCCAACATCTGAATGCAATCCCATTAGTAACTCAAACTATTGAACTATTGCCCTATTCACATGGTGTACAAGAGCATCTTAATCTCAAAGCCGGGCATTGCTTTACATACATTGTTTATGTGGTGAAATACTAAAATAAACATTTTCCTAGTCTATGAAAAAAAAAAAAATTTGTTAAATGGAAACGTAGCTTTTAAAGGTCAGCAGGTTTGCATCTTGCACATTCCACTGAAATACTGTTTCACTCAAAAAAGCAAAAAGATGATCTCAACGTCAGCTTCTTTAGTACACACCCCCCATAGTCAGTTGGGGAATGCAAATTATTTCCTCTGAGGTATTTGGTAAAAGGAAGATGCAGAGGTCACATTTTCTTGACTCAGAATTGTGTAAATGCATTTGTAAGAATTCACTGCTGTCGAAGTCCTAAGAGTGCCCAGCAAGTAACCCTGAGGAAAAGGGTAGAGGAGTCAGTGTTCAGAGGTTACTTTGTGGATATACCCTTAGCCTCGAAACCCTTTTCCTACAGGCTATTCCACTGAAGTCAGTGACACTGTTCACTTCCAAAGAGTTTTAGAGAACTGGGTCTTTACACAGTGAGAACACCTAAGTTTGGAAAATGGCACTGTTTGGAAAGAAATCCTTTATAGCTCACACTATGTACAGTTTTACCTAAGCTGCACACAAATACAGCTACGTATACAGCAAACCACAGATTTGGTGCTCATATAACCTAATATTTGTTAAAATACTTCATAGCAGGTTCCCCCAGGAAATGCTTATAGGGAAATTCATTTCGCATTCTGCCAGGAAGGCTGAATTAGGCAGCAGCATTGCAAAGTTGCTCAATAATTCTGTATTACCAGAGAAGGTTGTTAGGATTAATTCCCAAAGTGTTTCACATTTACAAGCCACTGTATCTCAGATAAATGTGTATGTGTAAAAGCTCTTCTTTACTACCGCAGTTCATGCCCTAACAGTGCTATGCACAAAACCCGATAGATCTAGAAAGAACAAATCACACTGAAGTCATTATATTTTTGTTTATACTACTGCCTATTAAATATTAATAGTTCTCATTTTGCTTCAGTACTATTGAACTATATTACTTTTATTAAAATGAAGCATACTTCATGAACCATGAAACATACCTATCTCAGAGAACCTACATTCATTATACCAATTACCTTACTTTTGAGGACAGACATTTCCATTTAAAAGGTACTATGTCGTACTGCAGGCATCACAACAGCCAAAATGATTATAGCTGAACTTGTGATATCAGGAAATTTATAATACGGCATTTGGCATTCTCTTTCAATCTCCAGAAAAAATAATAGCCTTTCTCAGCCAATTCTGTATGAATTTCCCCAATTATTGTACTCCTGATAGAACAGTTTGGGTTGGAAGGGTCCTTAAAGATCATCTAGCTCAAACCCCCCTGCCATGGGCAGGGACACCTTTCACTAGACCAGGTTGCTACAAGCCCCTGTGTCCAACCTGGCCTTGAACATTTCCATGGATGGGGCAGCCACAGCCTCTCTGCTTCTCTGGGCAACCTGTTCCAGTGTCTCACCACCCTCATAGTAAAGGAGTTCTTCCTAATATCTAACTAAATCTCACTTTGTTCAGTTTAAAGCCATTACCCCATGTCCAATCCCTACATGCCCTCATAAGAAATCCCTCTCCAGATTTCTTGCAGGCCCTCATAAGTTACTGGAAGCTGCTCTAAGGTCTCCCCTGAGCCTTCTCTTCTCCAAGCTGAAGAAGCCCAAGTCTCTTTGTCTTCATAGGAGAGGTGCTCCAGCCCACTGATGATCTTCAGGGTCCTCCTCTGGATGTGTTCTAACAGGTCTACATCCTTCTTATGTTGGGTTTTTTCCCCTTCTGCCACCCCCAAGAGTAAACCTGAACATCCTAGAAGTAGACACTAAACACACTGGAAGGAAGGACTATAGTAGGTAAAGAAAAGCACCTAAAAGGAAAACTGGGTATTAAAAACAATTATTTTGCTCATATTCCACCCAAGTTAATTAAAATGTGATCCTACCATTTGTCTTGAAGCAATAATCTTCTATTTGATCTCCTTGATTAAAAAAATCCCCAAATACAGCCAAGCACAGCATTATATGCATTCAACTCTATTAAGAATTCTCACATTAATGTGACATAGGGCAGGTTGTCAGCCTGTTTGCTAGACTGCAAACCTAAAAAGTCATTTGCATCACTTGTTAAACACAGGATTTCAGTATACTTTCCAACTTTACTACCTCCAACAAAATAAAACAAAACAAAACCCCTAACCAAAATAAACCCCAACAATCACACACACGCAAAACTAAACAAAAACTATGGGCAGAAGTAGCTTCTAATCAAGAGATTTAAACAGTACAATCTAATACATAGGAAGGGAGTTATCTAAGGCATGCTTCAATCTGTGCCACACCCTGGTTACTCCCAAAAGGCCAGAAGAGCCTTTCCTGGCTGCTTAGGTCTCCCTTATTCACAGGAAAAGTAAGCTGAGCACACATACAAACAAGGGCATGCAGCAGGCCAGCAAATGCAGCGTCACAGGGATATGCATAAGATTTCTTTTGCTTAGAAACAGTCACTGGTCTGCATATGCTTATCTCAAAAATTATCTAGCTTACACTAATAATGATTCTGAAAAAGGACACCACATTGAACTTTTCAGGGGTGGTTTCACTTTCCTGAAGTATGGAAAGATACTACAGGAAGATGGGACTGCATTCGTTAGCAAACTCCTAATACACTTATGAAAAGAAATCTGTAAGTTCAAGTTCTCTCACAGAAGAATTATTCTTAAATGCTAGTGCTATGTATGTATAAAACCAAACTTACTTAAATCTTGGGATCAGTTACAGATATCAGATAATGCTTGGACACTGTCAATCAGATCTGCATCTTGGCTAATAAGAGCAATTTCAAGATAACACTACTATTTCCTTTTCAGACATTTAATATTTAAAATGCAATTAACAGAAACAGTATCAAATAAACCATCTCACCTGTCATCTTCATTAAAAAGCCCACAGTTCTGCAGTCTTGAAAGGGCTAAACGAAAGAATTGCTCTAGAAAGCAAATATGAAGAAGGTTAATGAAAATGTTCAATGCTTTTTGAGACAAAAATAAGCTTGCCACCCTGACTACAGCAGATACAGCAGTTTTTACACACTGTGCATAAAAAACTCAAAATAAGAACACTTGTCATTTAGGGCCACGAGTCAGTCAATGATGCCAAAGAAAATCAGGGTTGTAGGAGCTCCTCTCTAGGAAGCTTTTCCTGCCCCAGCATTCCCCTGTTGGAAAACAGCAGGGGATTTGTATTCAAAAAAAAAACAAAACAACTGCAACAGTAAATAATCATTGGGAGTCAACTGCATTCCAGTTGACTGGGGTTTTCGGTCTACCCAACTTCAGCTGAAACAGAAGCAGCCTTGACTCAAGAGGGGATGCACAGCCAGAGACAGTAACAGCATTAGGTATCTTGTGAGAAGACATCAATCCAGCCTGTGCCCACTAGCAAAGCTGGGTAGAAGCACTTTCCCAGCTGTCTCACGGTGGGCAGGCACCTGCTGGACACTCAATGTGCCTCAAACTGAGAAGGGGACTCAGCTCGTTCCCAAACATACTTTTTCTCACTGCAGCCCCAGAGATGCAGAAAAATGCATCATCCTCTTTATACTGATGTAGGGCAAATAGAGTCTAAAGCCCAGATCTGCACAGTACTAGGAAGCTACACAGTTCAGTATTAAAAACTCTGGGATTTGAGACTTACAACCCTTTCCAAAAGGATGACTAAGCCCCTTAGGGTCTCTGCCTCTGTTGACTATGCCCTGATCAACACAGGTAGCAGACATGAACAAGCACACACAGGCACAGCAGCTGTGCAATGGCAAGAATACCCCCTGCAGCCACAGTGACACCTCCCCTAGTGGTAGAAGCTAGTTCAGTAAAAGGGAAAATTTGATGATATAACTGCCCCAACCTGCAGACTTCTGCCTCAGTAGGACTCTTCATTCTGATCAGCTTAAGTGTGTTGATCAAACCCCACCATATTGACCCAGCTAATACTTCACCTAGTAAGGTGCTAGCTAAATATCTTTAGCACTTCAGTCCACACACAAATGAAAAGAAGCTGAATAAGCTCCATTCTTCCTCACCTCCACCTTTTTGGAGCTTCTCTGCTAAGAGGGGCAACCCCAACATGGTGCTTTATTTGTTAAAAAAAGGAGGGTGCTAGATCAGAGGGAGTAAATGAACCCACTGAGTCACTGCTAGATACCCCCAAAAGGATTTGCGTTGGTGAACAGGAAAGACCAGAGCCTGAGATTCAGTGGCTTTACATGCCATTTAGGTATTTCTATTTAAAAACAAGGTACATGGAGAACACAAACCTGCTCTCTTTATTCCATAAGGTAGTTCAAACTTATCACTCCCGTGGAACTCCGCCACTCTGATAAAATCATTAGCACACAGGAACGGGTATATTTTGTCAACACTAATGAAAGGGAAAAAGTTTCAAAAATCCAGATTATGTATTTCAATTAGCCAGTAATTCATGCAATTTCTTTTAAAAAAAAAAAAAGCTTTCTTCATCCTACTGCAAGTATTATCAATTTTTAAGAGAAGAAAACTCATGAACACAGGGAAAGAAAGCAAGTGACAAAAGGGAAAGATTTTGTATTTGTATTTGGTGGGTAAAGTGTGAAATAAAAGGACACTCTCACTTTCTCTGCTACTATAAGTTATAAAGTCATTAAAATCACATGATGAAAGCTTAAAACATAAGAACATGTTTAAGAGAACATGTAACCCAGAAAGACAATGAGTAATTTCAGGTTTGAAAAGTATGCAACAGAGGCAAGGAATATTAAGTTCTTATTATATACTGCAATTTACAGAATTGGATTTGAAACAAGGCGTTTTAATTTGAAAATACCATCTCCTGAAGACTTCAGCTTATTTGAGATACATTCCCATTCCAAACACGTGGCTGTATTCACATTAGTAAGTACTCTGCAGCAACAGAGGTATACCCATACAGGAAAAAGAATGGAGTTCTCACATCCACATTCTACACATCTCGGTTTGTTTTTTGTGCTAGGCTAACTCCAGTAGGATGCTGCAGACTGAACACTAGCAGCTGCAGCACAGCAAGTGTGCTCCTTCAGTGCATTTTCTGGCTTAGCCAGATGTCCAAAAGGAGCCCAGACCACATACGCCAGGGTCACCCTGTGATGAGAAGAGTGGCACATGGGGATCACAAGGAGGACTGCCTCAAAAGCACATTCCTCCTACAAACTAGAGTAGGATGGCATCATACCCTATAAGCATCAAGACAGAAAGAATGGGTCAATTCTTCAAAAGACGGCAACCACAGACAAGGGTTCTCTCAGGGAGGCACTCATGTTACCATACCTGCCAAGTCAAGTCAAATAAATGCACAGTAGACCCAATCCTGTCACATGCCATCATGCCATTGGCTTTACCTTGGAGTTAAATAGTCACACACTCACTGAAATGGCTTACTGGAGTGATCCTGAATACCAGGCCTTATATTAAAGTGTTAACACAGGAGTATACAGTCACAGCAAGAGAGCCTAGTGTTGATCATAAATACCCACAACCAGCACATGACTTGTTTCTCTGTGAAGAACATTAATAGCTGTTAAAATAAACCCCTCCATTTCAGCTTTACAAAGCAAGTACCTCACTCTAAGCTCTATGTATTCAGAAGATACCAACAGTAAAAAGGAAAAAAAACAAACCAAAAACCCAACAGAATACCACAGCCCACACACCAAGAACTGGGCCATAGGTTAACTAAGCAAGACCAGCTAACTTTAAGACAACATGCACTGAACACCACCTGTATTAAACGTAGTAACTTGCCTTGCTGTTCAGAAGCAGCTGCTAAGCTTAGACATAATAAATAAATAATGCATCTACTGCAAAGAGATTCTTAATTCTAGCTCTGGTTCCTTTCCAATAAATAATTCTGCCAGGTTAAAAATCCTTGCAACCTCCCCAGGCTATTACCAAAGTGCACAGACCAGCTCTTCAGCTCACACAAACTATCTCTGTAAAGGAGCTGTGGAAATATGCAAGAGATTCTGTTCTAGCTCTGAACCTTTTTTCTTGCTGTGCATCCGAGTCCATCCCTGCCCCCCTTGCTCAGCACCAGAGCTATCCTGCTGAGCCTGACATAGAGACAGCCTGGGCACACTGGGGGAAGTAAGGAGGGAACTAGGACTACTTTACTGGGCCACGCAGCTAACTAAAACTCAAAGACCACAGGACTGTTTTGAGTAGAACAAACTTAAGATTGTTCCATGTTCTTTAAAATAATAATAGCACTGAATCAAAGCCATGTTTTCTTGTACAGCAAAAAAAGCAATGGTGCCTTTACTTAGAGCTTTAAGACTCCCTCAGCCAGGGATCTAAAGATCTTCCCAAGCCTTCCCAGGACCATAATCAATGTCTGCTAAGGCAAAACACAAAGCCAACAATACAGCTTGTCTGCTTCTGGTCCCGTGGTACTTTCTTGACCTCTCATTTAAGACTTGTGCTTCTAATAACAAAACCTCCTATTATTTCCTCACAAAACTCTTGGATGCACTTTTGTGACCAAACACCTCCTTCATTTTGGGTTGAAGCTCTTTCTTTTTTCATATGATCGCTTCTTTACAAAGGAAGCTTTCTATGAGTATACTAAAATGGAAAACATCTACGCACAATTCAACAATACTATTAAAGGAACAAAAGCATGAATAAACTCAAATTTCATTAAAACTCCACTGAAGGGGAAGAATCTTCTATCATTAAAGATTAGATGAATTTTTGCACATTTCATTCTTCACTTTCCAAATAAATAGAAGAAATTTTCAAAATCTCTCTTGATTCCTGGCTGCTACAGAAATACTTAACTATCAAAAACTCTTTTAAAGTGCAGGTTTTTAATAACAGAGTGACTGAGTTTCGGTCTTTGATATGAAGACTTTTTTACATCAAAAACATGGAGCAGAGGGAACCTAAGGCTTGTATTTCAATCATTAAAATAGCTTCACTGTTACTAGCTAGAATATGTGAACAGGAAGTACGTATTTATTCAGTACAGACACCAGCATTTTGAGCTAGTTGTGTGGTATTGCACAGATGCTGATCAGTGGCAAGCTAAACAATTTATGTTGCAACAACCAGGAAGAATAACAATGAAAAAGCTGTACTTTTAGAGGTAAATCGAAATGTGAAATAGGTCAGAATATGTAAATAGCTCATTTCTACCTCAATCAGCACAGACTTTCCTTTTCCCTCTACTTCCCACAGAATACTCACCCCAGTAAAGATTCAAATGCTGGTTTCAGGAGGCAAGTGTCCAGCACATTCCTTCTCTCCACAGCCGTAGGTGGCAGCCTGCAAAAGAAGAATTTCAAAGAAATAGCAGTAATAGGAATCAGTAGCAGCAACAAGGTAGGGAAACTTGGACAAGCCAAATTAGTAAAAGCTAATTACTGAGTTAACACCACACTAAATTTTCATGATTGCCTTTGCATCATAAAGATGGATTTTTATCACTGCAGCATACAATTACTAGCAAAGGCTTTCATCTCATAGCACTGTTCCAAAGGGTCTGTAACCTCCCTCTTCTCAGTAACTATCAAAGAATCCATAACCAGGTGAGATTTCAGACCTACCTGTAGAGAAGCAGGACACCTGGGCTGAATCAATCCTGCAGCCAAATCAGATAGCATCACCAGCACTCCTCAGAGAAAGAGTCTCATTTAGAGTGGGGAATAGAGAGAGTACCACATAGGGTACTCTAAGGAAAGTGAGGTTCTTTAGGCTTAAGTCATTCCTCTCATAAGGCAAAGACATTTCTAAGAACATTCCCACCTTGGTGATTTAGCCCAATTAATAACAAATACAAAGCCCAGAAGGCAGGACAAAGTTCAGTGTGAGCATCTGGGCTTCATTAAAAACAGAAGGATGAAACCACCACACTAGAACCACAAGCCAAACAGACCATTAAGGTTAATTGCTTTTAGTAACCCCAAGTTGTCATGTGAATACATACACTAAAAAAAGCACCCTGTGAAAGGTATCAGCTGGCCAGCTCGTTGCTTTCCAGCATAAGCCTCACAGATGGCATTTTGCAGGATGGCTTCAGAGAGAAGAGGCCTGCTTTTAAATTTTAGCATAGACACTTATTAGTCCCAGAAACCTAATTGCAGGAATTTACTAGCACAAGATATGCTTATACATCCATCCACTTGCACATCACAAGTTAACCACACCTCTGATTTATTAAACTTTAAGTACAATAGCTGCCCTTGTAGCTCTGCTCATTTTATTCAGGTAACTCAGAATTGCAGAAATTTGGAAGTTGTAAACAAATGTCCTTCCATCAATTCACTGCTTGTTATAGACAGTCACTGTAAATGGCCATAAATATTAACCGAACACTGGAAACATGACATGGACAAGCTCCCTTTGTCAGACATGTTACAATTGTGTTCGTAACAGAAACAGCCAACAGACAATAACCAGTACAATAACCAGCTGAATGGTGAGCCTACAGACAAAGGCTACTGATTTTAGTCTCAATGCCTCCCACCTACCCAAAAAACAACCGAGCAACCAAAAAAACAAAAAATCCCACCACAAAAATACTCAACTGCTGAACTTACTGGGTAACTCCACTAGTCTCATAGGAAGGAGAAGCCCTCACAGAGGAAGTCTGTCCATAAAAGCTAATCCTGCAAAAAGGGAAATGTCACAACACTGTGGTTTGCTATAAACAGAAACCACAACAGAAAGCCACTCTATCAATTGTATGCTATAAGCAAGACAAATAGAATCACATAAATCACTACTTTTAAAAGCTATCACTATTATCTTCATAACACAAACACACTGCTCAGTCCTGGTCACAGCTATGCAAAAGGCAATGGAAACTCAACTTCTTCAATAACTATGCTGAATTTTAGGTGCCAAGACACCTGTCCCAAGGAGTCTGGAGACAATGAAGGTTCACTTCCCACAAGGATGTCACTGGGGCAAGCCTCTCCCATGACATTTATCAGACACCTAAAGAAACAAGCTAACACTAAGCACATGTGGGGTGGGAGGAGTTATGGACACGACACACAAATAGGATATCTCTTCTCACCTAAACACCTATTTTCTTGAAACTCAGAGTGGCTATCCCTGTCTCTGAGGTCCTGACATCCCCACACAATCAGGCTCAAATCAACCGCTGGGTTTAAAAGTGACATGACGGAAGGTTGACAGGACAGAATAAATCACAGTACAAAACAAAACAACCACAAAACAGAACAGAGAGTAGTATTCACTTCCGCTGATCACTATTAAACAGCTTTCCAGCAACATAGCAACTCCCAGCCACATCTCTTACAGCCATGAGGGTGTTTGCAATGTAATTGAACAAAGCATCACCATACCAGTAGAGGTTATTTCTCCACAGATTTCCATGCAGTATGCCATACATAACAGCAGCAGCCAGGATGAAAAACAGAAGAATTCGTTTCATGACTGATAGATCTGAAATGTAAGAAAAACAAGACATTTAAATCCAAGCCGTGCTATTAACATGAGCTTTTATAAAGCATCTTGAAACCTGTGAAAGGAAATCATCGTTATTACAAGCATTCATCACCACCACAAATTTGACACACAAAGTCACAGTGACAGGAACTGAATGTTGCTCTGCACCTAAGACATGTGCATACTCTGCACAGAAGCACTGAGAGGGGGTCTCACTCTAGGTTCTCTCTGAAGGCACAGGAAGAAGATGGGCTCTTCCAGAAGCCTATCAGAGTAAGAGCTCCTTTCTGCCCATTTGCAGCCCAAAGAAACCAGCCTCTTGGTTCAGAAGTTGGCCTTACAGGTACATTCCTGTGCTTCTCCTCTTTCTTGCGCCACACGCTACCAGTTTCCATAATTACGCAATTAAATAAGCATTAGCACTTTGAAGGAGGTAAATAGGCTGATGCCAATGAAACCGAACAGGGTATGATCTACCTAAAATTGCTACCAGCTTTTTTAGGACCACTGAATATTCTTAAAGTCTGGTTTTGGTCATCTAAAGCTGTACTGAAGCCATCTGCTTATGCCCTTAAGGACAGACTTCATAGAATCATAGAACAGTTTGGTTGGAAGGGACGTTCAAAGGTCATATAGTCCAACCCCCCTGCAACGAGCAGGGACATCTTCAAATTGCGCAGGTCACTCAGAACTACATCCAGCCTGGCCTTGAATGTCTCCAGGACTTCACTGCTCAAGTCACAGAAAAATGCTATTTTCACACATCACTAAGCAAGGAAGACAAGTTAGGATCCAATCTATGGAACTTACTAATCATGGAGAAATAGTGTTCATTTTTTAAAACACTTCATTGCACAGTCTACTAAAAGAAAACTATAGACATATCAGAAGCTCAGGAATCTGGCAAGAAACACTGAGGGAAAAGAAACTTCTGCACTGCTCACATCGAACACACTGAGCTGCCCTCTCAAGTAGTTATGAATAAACTGTTACCGCTTAATCTAGTAGAAGTCCAAAAGAGCCATTCTGGCCACAAGCTACTGTGGAAATTTACTCAAGAGCTATACCCTTCTATTATTTTCACTTCTTCCCCTACCATGGTAAGAAGGTTCAATATAAGCAATGCATGAATACCTACTTGCATATCTATATTTTTATAGTGAAGGTATGAAACAGCTGTTTAGCAAACACAAGCCATATCCAAACATACTGCTGCATTTTTCTGCTGAGCAGAACCTTTGCATTTATGGTTTGGTTTTTTCCTCCTTCTATTTTTTTTTTATTTTCTTTTTTAAAATTCTGTGTTGATTTTTTGAATATTTAGAGTTGCTCTTATTTTAAACCTGTGTTAAACAGCCCTAAGGCAGTAAAACTCAAAACAGTTATAGTCCAGATGATTTACAGCAATATGCTTTATGCTAGTAACATCTTAACATCATACCTTGCATTAAAGACCAATAAACTACTAGAGCGCACTGCATTTTGTTATCAGAAATAGAGACACAAACTACTGACTAAGACATACACTACTGCCACTCACATGAACATTTCTTTGAGGTGAAGCTAACAGTGAACTATCTGTTACAATTACTTGAGTGCAACAAGACACTACTTCCTTATTTACATATACACCCCTTGCCCCATCCTTCACACAAGCTTAACTGTAGGGTCAGAGATGGAGTTTTATATCAGTATCTAACTGTAACAAAGCCACACAATTAACAAGCTATCATCGGTCAACCTTAAGTATACCCTCCAGGCTGTCCTGCTCTGTTCTAGATGAACTACAGGCTGCAGCTGTTGCGATTTCAACCTTTCATCCCGCCCTGGGAAGTAACATTGCCTCCCTTACAGCTCCAATTCCCTTAACTCTTCTGGAAGAGTTACTACAGAATTTTTTGACAGTTACTCTCAAATTCTAGAGCAAACTCTGAGTTTTTTTGCAATAATTTTGTAAGTCTTTCCCTAAAACTGCAAGGACACTACCAAAAAACCCTTACCTACTGGGTTTAGTCAAATGTCATTAACAGCAATTAGCTCATCATTTTGAGTACCATCATGCACACATGTACAGGACAAACAGGTGATCAGGCCCATTCAGCATGTCCTTATGAAAGGCTGCTCGACTAACCTGATCTCCCGTGACAAAGGTGACCCACTTAGAGGATGAGGGAAAGGCTGTAGATGTTGTCTACCTAAACTTTAGTAAAGCCTTTGACACCATTTCCCACAGCATTCTCCTGAAGAAACTGGCTGCTCATGGTATGGACAAGTGTGCTCTTTGCTGGGTAACAAACTGGCTGGATGACCAAGTCCAAAGAGTGTTGGTGAATGGAGTTAAATCCAGTTGTCAGTTGGCCACAAGTGGCATTCCCCAGGGCTCTGTATTGAGGCCAGTTCTGTTCAGTATCATCATCAAGGATCTGGATGAGGAGATCAAGTACACTCTCAGTAAGTCTGCAGATGACATGAGGCTGCATGGGTGTGTTGATCTGTTTAAGGATTGAAAGGCTCTACAGGGGATCTGGGCAGGCTGCATCAATATTCTGAGGTCCTGCATTTGGGTCACAACAACCCCATCCAATACTACACACCTGAGGAACAGGAGATGGAAAGCTGCTTGCCAGAAAAGGGGGCCCTGGGGGCGTTGGTCAACAGCTGGCTGAGTATCAGGTAGCAGCATATCCAGGTGGCCAAGGCGGCCAATAGCATTCTAGCCTGTATCAGAAACAGTGTTGCCAGCAGGGTAAGTGCAGTGATGATGCTCCTGTATCCAGCACTGGCGAGGCTGTACCTCAAAGTCTGTGTTCAGTTCTAGGCCTCTCACTGCAAGATATACATTGAGGTGCTGCAGTGGGTCCAAAGAAGAGCAACGAAGCTGGTGAAGGCTCTAGACCCCAAGTCTTATGAGGAGCAGCTGAGGGAACTGGGGTTGATCAGCCTGGAGAAAAGGAAGCTCAGAGGAGACCCTATCACTCTACAACTCCCTGAAAGGAGGTTTATAGCAAGGTGGGTGTTAAGTCTCTTCTCCCAAGTAACAAGAGAAAACAGCTTCAAGCTGCACAAGGGAAGGTTTAGACTGAGTATTAGGAAAATTGTTTCACCAAAAAGGTTGTCAAGCATTGGACCAGGCAGCCCAAGGAGTGTTTGAGTCACCACCCCAGAAGTGTTTAAAAGATGTATAGATGTGGCACTTGGGGACAAGGTTAGTGCTGTACTTGGCAGTGCTGGGTTTACAGTTGGACTCTATGATCTTAAAAGTTTTTTTCCAATCTAAATGATTCTATATTTGAAAAAGATACTGCTCTCCTTGGGTTGTTTTGTTTGGGTTTTTTCCATTGTCAGTATTTTACCCCCTCCTGGTTTGCCGAAATTTGCTGAAATATCCCACTGAAATGGAAATTAACTGTTTATTTTTATTCCCTAATTCAATCAATGCAAACATCAATTAAACAACAGAACATAATGAACCAGCTCTTCAAATAAAGTTGCTAAATTAGCAACTGATTAAATTGCTGATTTTGCTGACTTTAATGGAAGAGACCTTGCTGAAGGGTCAGACCAGGGTACGAAACAGAGCAAAGACAAAGCAAAGGGTATTTAAAAAACAAAACATTATGAATAACAGTACTAGTCAGAGGAAAAAAAAATGCTTGTGAAGTGTTTACAAAGATATTCATACAGCCTGCAAAACACTAATTTAAACAAGAAAATGTAGGTCAGCATTCTTCAAACAGGATCATAAGGAATCTGTAGCAGCTTTCAGTATCACATGTAGGACAATCAGCATGGCACTCACATGAGAATGTAGGGTGTACCTAACTCAGCTCTTGGGAACATAAAACGGCCATAGTTACACAAGTGTCTTCTCACCATCCCAACCCCCAGTGCCTGGCTTCATCCAGTTCTTTAAGAAGAAAATTATGTAGTCAAGAAAGACAGTCTTTTTAGTGAAGACTTTCTTAACCTGGTTTAGTAAACAAAACCATTGCCTTGTTTATGGAATAAATTATTCTGGCTGCATTTTTAATGGTGACAGCATTTTCCAGCTCTGCCTATTTTAAAATAGGCAAGTGTTACAGAAAGCTAATCAAAGGAAAACAAAACTCCTACAATGTAAATATTGCACTAGAAAATTCCCAGAGTCAGAGATGCAAGAAAAGAGAAGACACAGCTCAGATGTAAAATGACAGGCCCATTCCAGCTTATTTATCACAACACAAAATCCTGCATCTTGATTTAAGCTCATCAACCTGACTGACAGAGGTCATGGTGCCCTTAGGCCAAGGTCAGTCAGGGTTAAGCAAAACAAGGTGGACAAAACTGGAACTCAACTATTCAATTCCCTCCTCTTTCTGAAAAGCCTATGGTGATCCACACAAAGGAAGGGGCGAGGAGCCCAGCATGCCAGTGCACAATGTTCATAATGTTAGCTGGTCAATTTTCTGAAAGTAAGCAAGCAACAGAATGCATAAGCATTATAAAGAGATTGATGGGTATTTTTTATTAAGAATCTAAGACCAACTTCCGCTGTTCAACTTTCTACGCCGCCCAAGGCAGAGCTACAGTTACAGAATTACCAGACCCTGTTATGGTATTAAGTGATCTCAAGATCAGCCTGCATCTCCTATGGACAGATGGGTCCACCCCAGCTCCCACCAACACACCGAGTACATTGCAAATTTATTATATAATCCCAGAGGCTAATATTTTCTTTCCTTGATGGAAGTGGAAAACCAATGTCCTTGTCAGAGCTGCATCTTTACATACAATTCGTCCCCATTTTGCAACTTCATCAAGTGTGGTATCCGATATGAGTCACCACCTCAGAGCTCCAGTTTATCTTTCAACTTACATATGCAGTTGATGCAGCCATGCCACAGAATAATCACACAGAAAACTACAGCTGTTGGACTGGGCAATCACATGACCACATTACAAGCACCTTTTTTCATTACCCTTGTAAGCCTTACTTTTGTTTTCTTCCTTGAAATTAG